CACATCCACACACGTAGGTGGGCCCTCACGTGTTCACAGTTAGTTCAGTGAGGTACAATGAGTTCCTCTCATTATTCTTCACTAGTGTGCATCCCGTACAAAGCACGGCCCCCTATTTTTTTTAAGCACTATATTTTGAACTTGCTTCTCGCTAAGTTTTAATACATTTGATTTAATTATTGTATGCTTAAAATTAGAAATCATATCTACTCCTCTATACTTAAAAAAGATTTAAATTTTAATACATTTGATTTAGAAATCATATCTATTCCTCTATACTTAAAAAATATCAAAGTTTTAATACATTTGATTTATTTTACTGTTTATGATACATTAAAATATTGTAGTATGAATAGTAATATCAAATATGGTGGAGCAGATTTGATTTACTGGTTATCCTACAGTAAATCATTGCGGTAAACAGTATCTTCGAGTGTGGAGGTCCAGAATTGCTTTATTATTTATTCAACAGTATTTACTGTAATATAAACAACAACTCTTTGGATTCTCTACTTAGGGAGGAGAAGATTGTAAAGGGAGCTACAGAGGTGGTAAGTACTTATGGTTGTTCGTTTCGCAAAAAAAAAAAGGGAAATCAAATAATAGGAAACCTATTTCCTATAATAATTGTTTTGATGTTGTTTGGTTGGTTTAAAAAAGAAGGAAATTATAGAATAGGAGATGAGATGAGATGAGTTGTCACCTTATTATTGGATGATGTGAGTGATTTTTTAAAAAAAATTGTTTTGAGGTTGTTTGGTTGGTTAAAAAAAATAAGGAAATGAATTGGAGGTATATTATTGGATGATGTTTTGAGGTTGCTTGTGTTTGGTTCATTTTTAAAAATAAGAAAATAGATGAGATGAGATGAGTTAGAGGTATATTATTGGATGATGTGACACATACTTAAGGAAATTAATTTCTTGTTTTTTTTTTTAGGAAATGGATGAAAATGAAGGTTTAATGAGATGAGATGAGTTGTCACAATATTATTGGGTGATGTGTGTGATTTTTAAAAATGAGATAAGATGAGATGTGATGAGTTGGATGATGTGACACATTTCTTGTGTTTGGTTTATTTTTAAAGGTAAGAAATGAGATGAAATGAGATGAGTTGGAGGATAAAAATAATATTTTATTGGATGTTATAGGTGAGTTTTAGGGATGAAAATGGATAAAAATATTATCTTATTGATTTTCTTGTACTGATTTCCTTTTCTTTGATATTAAGAAACCAACCAAACGGGGCCTAATGGAATAGAAATTCCTCACTTATTGATCCCTGACATGTCATAGAATAGAGACTCCTCATTTCTTGATCCCTGTCATGTCATAAAGAAAGTGGAGTCAATCTTTTGGCTGGAGTCGGTGGCAGGTTACTGGAGTTTGATCAATCAAATATTTTCTAGGACTATTTACAGAAGAAGATGTTTTGCCAATCTTCAGATTGCTACAATATTGTACTAGGTCCACTTTTTTGTTGGGGGATGGAAAAAGTTGGAACTTAGGGTTTGACGTTGTTGAGATTCTTGGAGTTTTGGGGGTTTGAACATAAAGGTTTTTGGGGTTAAGTGGAAATAGCATAGTCCAAAGATTTCTTTTTTTTTTTTTTGGGAGTCTTGGACGTTTTGTGAAAAAACTTTTGGGGTTAAGTGGGTCTATGTTCAAAGGGTGTTCGGCAAAGGTCCCAAAGTTTTCGGCAGTTTGTAAAATTACCTGTAAAATGATGTTCATAAAAGTGACTCGCGTTCAACATCTTCGTAAACTAAAACAGCCCAGGCTTCTTTTTTTAAACGCCCTACAATTAAACCCGTAACATTAACAATTAAACCCGTAACCTTAACAATTTCCCAATACAAACAAAAACAATTAATTTTCTCATCAACAAAGAAAATAATAAAAAATAAAAAAAATAAAATAACAATCCCCTTCAACCATTTCAAGATCATCACAGTAACATCATGATAAAGAGAGAGAAAGAGAGAGAGAATGGAGTCATAACCTTAACAATTGACCCGTAACCTTAATAATTAAATCGTAACCTTAACAATTAACCCCTAACTTTAACAATCTCCTAATATAAACAGTCAGTTCCCCCTCATCAACAACAAAAATAATAAAAAACAAAAATAATAAAATAATCTTCATCAATCATTTCAACTATCCCCTCATCAACAACAAAAATAATAAAAAACAAAAATAATAAAATAATCTTCATCAATCATTTCAACTATCATCTCAGTACATCATGATAAAGTAAAAAACAAAAATAATAAAATAATCTTCATCAATCATTTCAACTATCATCTCAGTACATCATGATAAAGAGAGAGAGATAGAGAGAGAAGGGTATTATGATCTTCACATATTTTAATCTTTTGGGTTTTGTATTTTGGGGCTCAGAGAATAAACTCTATTTTTTGGGGCAAAACATCCGTTGACAAAGTCTTAAGGGTAGGAAGCATGTTTTCTTGGTTTTTGGGTGTTGGAAGCATTTTTCCCTAAAAAAACCTAGATGCACAGATATGCATCAATAATGTTAATAAATTAACTTAATAAGCTCTTCTCTTAAAGAAACTTTGAATTAATCAATAACTAGTATTCATCCCGTGCTAAGCACGGCATCGTTACAGATTATTTGTGTGCGTAATTTTTCATCATCTCATTTTTTGTTTTGTCACAATAAATTTATCTTAAACATACTTGAAGTCCATCATATAACCAATGAGGATATGGTTTTGTCACGATAAATTTATCTTAAACATACTTGAAGTCCATCATATATAACCAATATAAATTTATCATTTATTCAAACCTAATATAAATCACATGATAAGGATTGTAAGTTTTGCAGATCACAATAAGTAAGAGAGGGAAAGAAAAGCAGAAACACAATGTACTAAATTTCTCTTTATTCGTTATTAGCATATGTTCAAACCCAATATAAATCACATGATAAGGATCTTAAGTTTTGCAGATCACAATAAGTAACACAGGGAAAGAAAAGCAAAAACACAATGTACTAAATTTTTCTTTATTCGTTATTATCATATATTCAAACCCAATATAAATAACTGGATCTTTCAATACACCAAGCTGTCAACATATTTTCCATACTTACAACACGAACCTCTTCATTTCTTTCAAACCATTTAACCCTTCTATTCTATTTGTATATTTGTATCTTCTTGATTGCTCTACATTGAAGATATAAGAGATGGTGACGCTAGTGATAGATCAAATGAAGTAAAGGAATGTAGATAAAGCACGACGTTCATCAAAGGACCTGCATTTTGTAGCATACTCTGAATCGGCACGACCTACATGAATGGATATTAGATTAGATTTATGTTGCTTCCATCTTACGTTAGGGTAGAACATTGAGTATCTCTTTTATTCATTTTCTTATAATGGAGTAACATAACCTACTTATATTTGGTCATTTCTTTGTTTCAAGTTTCATGAAAATTCAGAAGCATAGATAATGCAGGCAAAAAGTATTTTACTCTTCCAACTTTTTCATGCATCTTTGTACCTTATTATATGCAGTAATTATTTTTATCTTATTTGGTTCTTTGAAGGAATTCTCGTCCATTACATTACTTGATGTAAGAATAGTCATCTTTAATCCCGGTGAGTTGATAGTATTTTTCAAACCAGAAACATAGAACATCAGGTCTACAGGTTCACTGCCAAAGTTTACAACCGGCACAAAGGGGATAAGAAGAAAGATTGTCAAAAAAGTAAAAATACAGTAAATTGAAATCATAGTCAGCACCAGGTCAATTTGTAGAAGCAAACAATAGTTTTCAAAGTTAAAAATAAAATAAGAGAAAAACAGAATAACAATCAATAGATACCTGGCCAATTTTAGCATGTTAAACTGAAAGAAAATATGCTAAAAAGGTATATTCTGCTCTTGGAATATAATGATTGCAATCTTAGTGCAGGTTTACATGCTTAGACTTTACTAATGACAGAGAAATAGATGATTATTTTCAAAAATTAAAGGGAGGGATTATAAAGGTCGACAGAGTTGGTGAATTTCATTTGTATTTGTTTAACAACCCCATATGTTAATATTTCAAACTGAATACACATTCATATATATAACCTCAAAATTATAACTATCGGTACTGAAATTAAAAAGTAAAAAAGAAATCAACCCAACAGGAAAATTGTTTTATTGAAGAAAGAATACTATAAATAGCTTAGTTTTTAACTAATTTCAGGAATATTTATGTATATGCGCCAATAAGACCGACAACTAACATGCAAAAGGATACATTTTTAAAGCATGATATAAACAACTATGAGAATTAAAGAGATTACTAATGTCATAAAAGATGATTTTATCGTGCGATAAAAGATGATCTCATACGTTCTATCAATTCTATCAATCAGTAATGAACCAAAATATACTACTAAATGAAAAGTCCATCAGGGGGCTTTTTTTATGCTTACCTTGGCAAGAACATTAGCAGAAAGGTACGTTGCAGAGTTCATGATAGAATTTGTACAGCTGTGATTTGTAAACTTATGCTCATAGGAATTACCTCACATCTACCAAGATCCATAGACTTATGCTAGAGAATGCATGCATCTTCTTTTCTCAGTTTCTGGATTAAAGACAGGCTATGCTCCATAGAAGCTAGAGTCGCATGCAGGTCATCGCTAATCATAAACTTATCTCCACTCTTGACAAATAATTTACCAGCATCAACATCCCATTTGGGCCATCTTCTAATCAAATTCACAGTTAATTCTCGACAGTGATCCAAGTCCAGAACAACCTATATCTCCCAAAAGAAGTTTAATGTTATGAACAGGGGCAGAGCTAGTGTATGGAGGGTGGCGCCCGTGTCATGAGACACCACCCCAAATTATACAATGAAATAAGTTTCTGTGAACTCATTAAGTAAAGTATCGACACCTCAAAATAATTTGAATAGTTAGTAGTGACATCAATTCTTAATGGGCCAAACCTACAAATAAAGTGATCCTAGTACCCATTAACTTAAATGGCCCAACATATCAAAGAGCTACCATCAATTTTGAAAAAGAAAAAAAGAGAGATAATTTTACATTGAAAAGGATGCAGCGAGTGGTATTTTGAATGAATGCTATTATGCTTTCAAAACATAAAGACACATAGGGTTAATTGTAATTGTACCTACTTAAATATCTTTCGAACCTAATTAAAATTTCTAAATATACTGAATGTGAGAGAAAGTTGGTAATATCGTCTTTTTATATATGTTGTGACACCACCATTATGAATTTCTATCTCCGCCACTGGTTATGAGTCAGTTCACCATAACAAAACTGATGCATCCCTTCCCTCATGTCAACACATTTTATTGCCGTGTAGGTGCTTGAGCAATCCAATAATTTGATTTTGCAAAGAAGCTGCTCTATAAATCTAAGTTTCATAAAAGTCTTGACCTTTCCATCCATTTACCAAGTGCATGAAAATCAATTTTTTAGAGAGGCCCATAATTGTATGGTCCATGTATTTCTCAATAACATGCAGAGATTACAAAACGACTTTTTTAGAGAGGCCCATAATTGTATGGTCCATGTATTTCTCAATAACATGCAGAGATTACAAAACGACTCTAGTGCCATTCCAATGCTCTTAAATTCAGCAAAAACCCATCACCTGCTTGTAAGTCAACTCCGACGCTCTAGTGCCATTCCAATGCTCTTAAATTCAGCAAAAACCCATCACCTGCTTGTAAGTCAACTCCGACGACGGATCATGATAAGGATCCACCACGGCCACTCGAGCCCCGAACTTCTCCGTCGTCGATTTCCAAATATCCAGAACCGATCTCGACTCCGTGATCGCCGGCAAAGCATCAGAATTCGGCAGAAAAGCACTCTCCAGAACAGGAGAGCACTTCCTCCTCCTCCTCTTCGATCGCTCCCCCTGCACCAAAGAAGTCAAAATTAAAGTCAAATTAGGGCAAAGAATCAACCGCTCGATCCAACAACGAAGATAGATCTTCAAGAACTCGCCTCGTAGGAGCAGCGGAGGCGACATCGGAGGTCGAAGCTCCTCGGCCTGATGTCGAAGGCCCACCGCGACATCGGAGGTCGAAGCTCCTCGTAAGAATCAACCGCTGTTGATGACGCCAGAGAGGAACTTCCAGGTAGCCATGAGGTAGCCCAGGAAGGGGCCGAAGGCGCGGTGGGCCCAGAGGACGAAGCCCCCGTTGCCGTGGAGGGCGGCGGCGAGCTCGACGGTGATCAGGGCCTTAGGGATGGACCAGACGAAGGGGAAGAGGAGGAAACCGAGGATCGAGAGGAGGGGGGCGGCGGCTAGGGAGGGGTCCAGTAGAGAGAGGAGGAAGGAGAATATGAGGAGTGGAGGGAGACATCGTGGGGTTTTTTCCCCTCTTTCTCGTGTTCGTGCGTGGGGAAGTTGGGAGCAGACGGTTGTGGGGGCGACGATAGGTTTTAAATACGTGGATAATGAGAAATTTTACTGTTCATTGGGAGGTTTTCCTTTAGTTATAAAGGAAAGTAGATACATACAGGTCGTTAAGAATACAACTTAAGAAACCGCCAAAAAAAATAAAGCAAACGAGAAGATTTAGCAATTTATCCATCAGATCTACAAATTCTTCAAACAAATCAAACATCCGGTGAAGAAACCGCCAAAAAATCAAAAGATCTAACACTCAAAACACAGATTAACCAATTTTAATCAAAAAAAAAAAAAAACAAGAAAAAGGAAAGAAAAAAAAGAGGGCAATAATTTGTTGTTGACGAATGGGATGCTCTGTGATATCACCTACTTTTCGTGAAGCAAGAATAAGTAAAGGAGAACAAATGATGCAAAATAGAGGACTATAACCACAAGTTGCATTTACATAGGTGAGACTGGCACATAGTATATATTTACAAAGATTACATTGCTGAAACTTGTACATACAGAAGTTTACAAAACAAACAGTTTTCGTGTTTCATGGAACTACCAGCTAACATACAACTAACGTACAATATCCATATTTCTTTCGGCACTACAAAAAAGTTTCTCACTGCGATACCAACAGGAGTCATTTTGCTACTTGTTTGTAAGCTCATCCAACAGTGGTAGCCATGTAGTACTGTATAGTCTCGCACCATCCTTCAAACTTGTGGCTTATGAGTGGATGACATGCTCCTTTCACTTGAATATCTGTCGAGACATGTTGTATCCGCTCGCCCATCATATTGTAATATGAGATACTTTGTGATATATCCACTTGTTCATCATGGTGTAATATAAGATACTTTGTGATAAATATATGCTATATGAAAATTAAAAAAGAGTATTTAATATGCAGGACATTGCAAGTATTACTGCTGGTGTGATATAATCAATATGCAGGAAATCGCAACTATTACCGCTGGTGTGATATTTGACAAACGACTGGAGTTGTAAAGTCATGAGGAAAATAGTGTAAAAGTAATATTATGCAGAGGTAACTACCTCATTACTATTCTGCTTAAGTAGCATGCCGTTGATGGCGAAAAGTTTTACCGCATTAGCTTCAAAGATGGTGGTAGTCATGATATTAGTAGTATCCTTTAGGTCTATAATGAAACGGGGCCTACAAAAGGAAGTATAGAAAGGAGTCTACCTCAATAGAAAGAGAATATTCTTCTAAAGAGCATTAAAAGAAAATTTAGTTCCAACTGTAAGGAGTCTACCTCAATAGAAAGAGAATATTCTTCTAAAGAGCATTAAAAGAAAATTTAGTTCCAACTGTAGAGATTATGAAATAACCTAAGAATTACATTCTTCTAAAGAGCATTAAAAGAAAATTTAGTTCCAACTGTAGAGATTATGAAATAACCTAAGAATTACAGGACGTAATGGTAATTTCAATGTTTTTAGGGACAAAATCAAAATAGCTTCACATTTGAGGGACCTAAAAGCAATTCCAAATATTTGACGGGCTAATTTTAAAATACAAAAGATTTAAGGGACTAACATTGAAAAAATATCAAGTACAAAAGAGGGGCAAAAGAAAAAGGCTTTCTGATAACACCTAAACTTAAGGAACGGATTGCTTACTACCTTGGCTGTGCAGTAGCGTTCTCAGTGTTATAATTCCTACAGTTAAACTTCATTCCATCTTCTGCACTGATGGTTTTCTTGCATTTATTACGCGACATATACCAAAACGTTTGTTCCAAGTTCGCTATTGATGCAAATCCCTTTTATCCAGAAAATTGTTCCCTGCATGGATGCAAATTCGCTGATAGCTAGGAGAATCAGAATGTTAGAAGGATAATTTTATTAGTAAAATAAGTTTTAGAAATCATAGGCTTATCCTTTGTTTTAAAACTTTATTCTCAAGGTGTCATGGGGTTCAAGTTCGGAGGTCAAATTCCAGAACGGAGGACCATGCGTCTCGAAAGCTTTATGCTTCGAGAATAAAATTTTTTAAGGCGGGCCATGATACAAAAAATAAATTTTAGGAAACCCTTAGGTCTTGCTCTCTAAGACCATCTCCAGCAGGAGGTGAAATTTCACCTCCTTCTCTCCTGCCACATCACTTTATTTAATTCAATAATCTTCATTTCCCTATCAACTCTACAGCAGGAGATTTTTCAGAAAGTTTTTTACTTTATTTGGGACCCACCATAAACCACATCACTTCAACATATACCCCACCATATTTATTCCTTCTTTTTCCTATTTTATATATATTACTATTTTATTATTATTATTATTATTATAACTCATATATTTATAATTATAATTTATTAATAATTCAATAAATAATATATAATATTTAAATATATATTATTAATTTAATTTTCAATAATATTTTTTAATTAACATAAAATAACACACGATTTTAGTAAGCATACGGAAAACCAAACACACCCAAATTATTAAAAACAGGCCAGAAAACACACACTAAATTGGTAAAAATTTAATCGGAGGTTGTCCCAAACTTCTGCCAAATGTGCTCGATGAGATCCTTCTTCAGCTGAATATGTTGGGTCTTATCTCGTAGTTCCACTCTAGTCTGATTATCTGCCTCAGATCGGTGTTGAACATGGACTTGAAACTCCGGCAACACGTCTGTTTGAACATTAAAAGAGGCGCTAGAGCTAGCATTGTTCGACGGTTCAAAGTCGATATTTTCCCAGTTTCGCGAATACGTATCTCGTTCATCCTCTACTATCATGTTATGTAAAATAATGCACGCCCTCATTATTTTTCCTAAGACATCAAGATCCCACATTCTAGCTGGTTGGCGGACAATAGCGAAGCGTGCTTGGAGTACCCCGAATGCGCGTTCCACGTCCTTCCTGCATGATTCCTGTTGTTTGGCAAAAAATTGATGTTTGTTGCCTTGGGGCATTTGAATTGACTGCACGAAGACAAGCCACTTAGGGTAGATTCCGTCGGCAAGATAGTATGCAAGATTGTACTCCCGCCCATTTACGGTGAAGTTTACCCGTGGAGCTTCACCAGACTCAATGTCGTCAAAAACCGGTGACCTATCTAGTACATTTATATCATTCAAACTACCAGGAAGCCCTGAAAAAGCATGCCATATCTACAAATCATATGACGCAACTGCCTCGAGGATAACTGTTGCCGTCCCCTTGTGTCCACTAGTAAACTGCCCTTGCCAAGCCTTAGATTCAACATCCTCACCACTACTCTTTCTTTTAGAGCCACTACTACCGGATGCATTTCCTCCTGTCATATATTTGGGTTGATTACGAACCACCTTCCACTCATCCACCAAATTAAACGTCGTACCTATTTTCTCAAAGTACAACTCTCTTGCCTTGGATATGTAGTTTTCATCGGACCAACCGCTACGCTTCTCCCTACATGCAGTACTGTAGCAGCCAATGAAACTGGATATCTTTCTGTTGATGTCTTTGAAATGACTATGGCACCGAGAGGTCCGAGACACAATCCTCTCCTTTCCACTTTTGGCGTTCTCATTCACGTACTGTGTAATTTTACCCCAGAAATTTCCACTTTTGGCGTTCTCATTCACGTACTGTGTAATTTTACCCCAGAAAGTTTCACCCTTTTGGTTGTTCCCCAACTCACTATCATTACTAACGTGAAAATAACCAGTTAGTAAAAGTATGTTGTCTTTGGTGGTCCAAGTTTCATAACTTGATCTCTTTGCTGATTGTTAGGTTGGAGGGAGAAAACTGTGAGGAGTATCCCCACCAACATTTCCCAAAGACATTTGGGTGAAAAATTCTGAGATATCTGTAGATCCGCTACTAAACCGGGGTGTCGCTGGCTTACTCGACTCCGTGTTAGGATAATTCATATGGGAGGGAACATAGCTGCTTCCCGGAACTGGAGGATAATCGTAAGGAAGATAAGGATATTGCATGCCAAAATTTGATTGCATCATGTACGTCATTTGAAAATTAGGCTGCATCCCCGTATTTTGAGTATTTTCGGGGCGTTGTATATTTGAATGTTGTGGTTGAGGGAGGGTATTTTGAGGTTGGTTAGGAAAGTTGTAGTTGTAGGAAAAATTAGGATAGTTTTGTGAAGGATCCATGAAGAAACTAGCTTCAAATTGTAGAAAGAAGAAGAATAGGGTGTAGAAACTCAGATTTTTTTTTGTGTCCAAATGACACAAAGTTAGTCTCTATTTATAGAGTTTGAAAAATAAAAATTAATGGTATAAAAATTATAAATTAATTCATTGTATTTATCTCAAAAAATATCAATTAAAAATAAGGAGGAAAACAAAAATGCTCGCCTAATCAAATTTCGCCACGTGGCAGCTGGCCATCAGGCTCCAGACCTGTCCGCGCGTGGGCTTGTCAGAAATGCCCGGGGTGAATTTTTCACCCCTTGGCCTTGATTATTTGATTCACCTGCACAAAAAAAACCTGCTGCAACTAAATATCCCTCGGAAAAACCCCTGCTGCATATGGTCTAAAGAGGTTTTAATAGGATGGAGGGGAGGTGATGAGTGTGTTATATGCAGTGGAGTTGTTTACTGTTTAATTCACTCTGCAGGCATTTTGGGATATTCCAACCTCCAACATGGACTCATTGTTTAGAATCGTACAACAAGATTGCCTCATTCAATTCAGCAAACTTTGATTCAAACCCTTGTCCTCTTACTTGTGGCTGGTTAATGAACTCAAAAGATAAAAGTTGTGGTGGTGGGTGGTATTGAAAAGTATGATGGGCTGGATATTATCATGGGGAATTGGTATCTGGGAGCTTCACAAGAAAGAATGGAGAGAAATTGCTCGAATGTCTCGTAAAAATTTTCAAGGATATCCTGATGGCAAAACCTAGCTTACGCTAAAATGCTCAAGGAAATTTTCTCACAAGTCCAATAAGGATATACTCTAAAATGAGATTTCATCGATCAGGAGAAATAGTATGAATGTTTCCATAGAGGCACACATACGAAGCTATCTTCCAGTTGATGAAAAATAAAGAATACATAGTGAAGGAAGATCATAAGCAGATGCAGTCATGTGCTTAACAAAAGTAAACTAAGAAGCAAGACACATTAACAAACAGCGCAATGCATCAAAGTTGAAACTACACAAGTTAATGGAAAGTGTTAACAAGAAGACACCAAGCACAACATTGCTGAGATTAGACATCGATTACAAGTCAAACCACCACCTGGGAACCATCACTAGCCAACAGAGCAAGTCTAAAGTGGATTTGATGACCTCAAAGAAATTTGAAAAATGCATTGTTAAAGTTCTTCATTGAATCATTCACTCAATATTTAAAGGTATAATGGCATCAAGCAAGGGAAAGGTTTCCTAATATTGTCATAGGTAAATTCAAATGACATCAAACAAAGATTATAAACAAATTGACAGTCTGAATTAATGAGAAAAAGAGTAGATCAGGGTTGACCAATGGAGAAGCTATTCTCTGGATTTGATGACTAATGACCATTTTGGATGCTGCCTAAAAAACTACTAAATGGTCATTACATCATTGAACTGAACATGGTAGCAAACAAGGAGATAGAAATATTCAAAAGATAATCAAACAACACTAAAAACAGAGAAAATTTTAAGGAGAATATGAAGGGCAATATGTAGCAACATCAGAAGCTCAGCAGTCCAAAGTAATTCAATAAAGGAAACAGAGAAAACAAGACAAAAGCAAAACACTGGAGCTTAAAAATATTCAGATTAAGATATGGTCAAGTATATTATGAGATATGTAATAAGTGAAAGTCACCCAAAAATAAGGCTCATAAAAATGAAGCAAAATCTTCTTCAATTTGATGACCCTCCATTTCTAAGAAATGGGTGGCCAGCTCCAGGTATATAAATATTCAACAATAAAAAAACCCACAAATAACTCATTCTTAACTGAGGCTATGATGGACAAAAGGCCAGCGATGGGGCGAGCAGATAATTAGCAGAAACTCTAAATAGTTCTGTCCTCATGAGAGATAGGACGTCAAGGCAAAGAAAAAAATCACAACTTCTAAGTAGTAGAGAGACCTATTAAGGGATTGCACATACGCAAAGGCTAGAATACCAATTGAAGAACATAGATTATCATTCAGTATAAAAGAAATGACAACTAATTCATGGCGTAAGAGTAATACCTGTTTCGCAACGTGGCTGTCTGTGGAATGGTCAAGTTGATCAAAGATTTAGTAAATAAAGATATGCCTGTAATAAAAAGTCTGTGCATGTATTATTAATGTGACCAGGTGGTTGGTTTAATATAAGATAGTAACACATAATATACCATAAAAGGAACTTTTAGTCGTGCTTCGATGATAAGGGGCCATGTTTTAATCATCTCTACTATGACTCTTCCTTTATTATGAACGAAATCATCCCCTATCGTCAAAATGATGGGCTTCAACATGGAAGAGAAGAAATGATTGTAACAGTCATGAACACGTTAACACGAAGAAATAACAATCATAGCGCTCAACGCAGGGCATATATTCTCAATATGTTTCACAAGTGTTTAACATGAAGAAATAAGAATTTAGTACCACTTGAACATAGAATACTACAAGTTGTTTCTTTCTATAATAGCTAATGTTCTATTACAAGCTACGCTGTAGATGCATCCTTAATGATCTTTAGTTGTTTGCACTGATTTCAAAACAGATAGTGAAACATTTGCCTCCTTGTGCAATGTTAATGGAAAAACAATAAACCAAATACAAACAATTATTACCTTCAGTAAGGCCATGATCATATTCACAAAAAAAATTATGAATTTTTATCAATCCTACATCCAAAATTAAATTATAATCTTTACAGTGATTGGTGTGAAATGTCTTGTTAACAGCAAAGATCACACAAGATAAAATGACTCTAAAATTGAGATGAATATATGAAACTATAGAGAAAAAGAAAAATACAGGAGAGAAAGAATAGTACAAAAATGAGATGGATAGAAATCATGGATTACTGACTGACATTATCAGATGAAGTGGTCTTTCTTTTGAGAAACTTTAGTGGTTAGTACTATAAGTTTTCTTTTCTGTTTTAGAGAGATGCATAAAAACACAAACTAATTTTTCCACATATATAGGCAGCAAAATAAGAGAGTGGTGGTCGGAGAAATTTTATGCACATACTCCTCATTGATGACAACAATTTCTTGCACCTTATATTCACCACTTCTACTAGACAGAGGCTTTGATGGGAAAGTATCAATCACTGCAGCTAATATGCTGCTGTCCAAAATAGGTAAATCATGGAAAACTTCCATCCTTCCCACGCTATGTCTTCATGAATTCTCTTAAAATAATTAAAGTATTCTTTTTTATTTATTTGTAATTTTCTGGTATTTCTCAACTTATATGTGAAATTTCTTAAAATTAGGAAATTACCTTTTTCTACAGAGACAATAAATGATAATGATTATGATCTTCAGTGTGATAAATGATAATGATTATGGTGTTTACTGTTCTTAATGTCAGTGCCAATAGATGTTAGATTGAAACGAAATGAATATAACAGATAATGGTATGCTTCTCCAGCTGAAGAGGGGGGAAAAAGAAAAAAAGAAAAGCGAAAGAAATATATGGAGAACTATTTCAAAACAAAATTAAGTAGAAAAGAAGACGAAAGTAGAGGCAACTGGTATTCACACATTTACCCAAAAAGAAAAAAGTTGAATTAAGAAGGAAAACAAGGGAAACTTATCATTTGAAAAAACAACAGCACGAAAACAAAAAGACTAAGGATGAACTCCCTGAAGATATAAACACTGAAACTTCAGCCAAAAAAACATGAAGCTTTTACTCAAGAAAAAGAGGGCGTGAAAATGACGGCATTGCACACAAAGAATGCAAGGAATTAAGACAAGAAAAGAAAAAGTTCAATCAGAATAGTAGCAAACATGAGTGTTCAGATGTAATTAAAAGAAAAAGTTCAATCAGAATAGTAGCAAACATGAGTGTTCAGATGTAATTCAACATCAAAATGAAAAAAGTTTTGTTGGTCAGTCCAGAGTTATGGAGCATTATAGAAGAAAAATAAAAAGGAACCTAGAATTGATTAGTCTACAGAAGATTAAAAAACCTCTGAAAAGAAATCTTCTACAACAGAAAACAATAGTTCCCCGACCTGTACGCAAGCTGTGCAGAGAATGCAACATCGCTTTGCAGATGAAAGTCTCCACGCACCCTGCAAACACAATCAGCCAGGGATTCAAATAAACGACTCTACACTTTCAGTAAATTCTATTGTAGGTAAGCTGCTCTTTAGACGCTTTGGGTAAAATGAAAGAAAAAGGACCTTTTCACTCCTGTAATTACTAAAATGCACCTCTAATACTAACAAGAAAAACAAAGAATTAGTTTTATGCATACAGATTTGCAAGGCAAAGGAAAAGCGCCTGTTACCTACTATAGCATTTTTTAAACAGGTTCGTCTAAGATATACTTCCTTCTCGATAACATTTTATTCTATTATTATTATTTAGTTAGAGCATTAATGATAACTGAAATCTACTAAATACCAAATGTTGGTTGCTCAACTTCCAATTCACCTAATAAGGACATGCAAAATGGATCTTCCACGTCAATATTCATTCCTAAAAATCAATTACACCCTCGCCAAAATGTTAGAAAAAAGAGAACTACTATTACAAATTGGCTTGCAAGCAACAGTTTCCAGTGAAGGAGATATCTTACCTGCAAGAAAGTTATGTGCATAATGTGCGGTAAGAAGTTTCATCGAGAACCTAAAGGATTTTGTTGTTCAGAGGGACAGGTTCAATTAGTTATAAATGAAGTTCTAGATGAACCGTATGAATTATACACTTCAAATACAAATGAATCTTTACTGTTTCTCAAGTACAGTCGAACTTATAACAATGCATTTACATCCTCAGGTGTACAATATGATAAAGATTTGTGTAGAAGAAACAAAGGGATTTAAACATTCAGCGTTCGCGGTCAAGTTTATCATTACATTAACGAAGTGCTACACTTGATAATTACCCTTCGTACTTACAGCTATATTTTTACAACAAGAAGCATGAAATTAACCATCGACTGAACAAATACGAAAGATTAAATCCTAGAATCTTACATAAACTTATTCAATTGTCTTTCAACTTTTTAAGAACAAATGGGATAAATGCTATAATACAAACCGAAACAATAGTAGCTTAAGAAGAAAAATGAATAAGAAAACATTGCATGTACGAGCCAACAATCAAGGTTAAGATTAGTATTCTTTTTAAAAGAAAAATGAATAAGAAAACATTGCATGTACGAGCCAACAATCAAGGTTAAGATTAGTATTCTTTTTAAAATCAAACAAGTGGATTGCCAAAAAAGCCAACAATCAAGGTTAAGATTAGTATTCTTTTTAAAATCAAACAAGTGGATTGCCAAAAAACCTTTGTTAAACAATAATCAATAATGTTGAGAAAGAATTTCTCCAATTATAACAAGGACTTGCCAACAAAACAACAGTTTCATGTACGAGCCAACAATCAAGGTTAAGATTAGTATTCTTTTTAAAATCAAACAAGTGGATTGCCAAAAAACCTTTGCTAAACAATAATGTTGAGAAAGAATTTCTCCAATTATAACAAGGACTTGCCAACAAAACAACAGTTTCTTCATTAAAACTCTATTTACCTTTTTCTTGATAAGGATTGAGCACGCAAAGTTCATCCGAAAATAAGTTGAAGTTTATTGAAAATGTAACATAAATAGTTTGTTTAACATTACACAATGGAAACACGTGTTGGACACGACATGGCCTCACAATGGAGGCACAATGGAGTCTACATGATACTTTAGAAAATCAAACCAGATAAGTCACCCGAAGCTGACAATAGCACTTGTAAAGATGTCTTCTAACATACATAGTTCAAGGTTTTGAAGTTACTCTTTGCCGGTCAGGTAAAAGGCGACGTTCTCTTTGCTTAATCAATGCATCACACACTTTGGCAGCATCAAGACAATCTCTAACATTATGGACCCTTATGATATTAGCACCGTCGAGAATTCCGATCGTAACCGCTGCAACTGTGGCAGGATCCCTCTCAATTGGATTACTTCGATTGCAGATCTCACCCAAAAATCTTTTTCTTGAGGGACCAACTAACAATGGAGCATGTGAAGCAGCCACATTCTTTTCCCCAATTTGTCTCCTGATGGATTCTAGACCCATGAGAAGTTGCAAGTTCTGTTTAGTGTTCTTTGAAAATCCAATACCAGGATCAATAATAATCCTCCATGAAGGAATTCCAGAAAGCTCAGCATCCTTCACACGTGAGCATAGCTCAGAAGCTACTTGTCTGCAAACATCATCATATTGCAAATTCTCATCACTTTGCATTGTAGATGGATCTCCCCTCATGTGCATAGTAATGTAGGGGACTCCAAGACTTCCAACTGCAGCGAGAATTTCAGGATCAAGCTGCCCACCAGAGACATCATTTACAATATGAGCCCCTTTCTTCACAGCCTCCGATGCAACTTTTGCATAAAAAGTATCCACTGATAATAGCTTCCCCTCTATCTCGGGAATTTTTAAAATTGCATCAAGCATAGGAATCAACCTCTCAAGCTCCTCATCTGCAGATATCCTGCGTGCAAATGGCCGGGTGGACTGGGCACCGATATCAATAATATCTGCTCCTTGTGAAATCAACTGCTTAACATGAGAAACTGCAGCTTCCACATCTTGAAACTTCCCTCCGTCGCTAAAACTATCTGGAGTAAGATTGAGGACACCCATGACATGGGTTCTTTCTGACCAATCCCATAAGTGATTTCCTATCGGTAAAACTCTTCTCATCTCTTTCCTTCTAACCAAGTTTTCTCCTCCAAGCTTCTCCCATACTCCAAATAGCCCACCGTTGTTTCTAGACAACAAATGCCAATTTTGTTCAATTGCATCATCCATAGATGAGCCCAATAGGTCCACAAGTGGAGCAACTACAAATGGTCTCTCCCATATGCGCTCATGTGGGATGTTAAGAGATTCAGATTCGACCTTTACTTTACCGTAGAAAAGAATATCTAAATCAATCAGTCTCGGGCCATACCTTATCCCCTCAGTCCGACCTAACTTTTTCTCTATTCGCTTTAGTACTACCAACAATTCATGAGGCGCAAGTTTAGTGGTTCCCCTAACTGCTGAATTTAAAAACAACGGCTGGTCGGTAACATAAGCAGGTTCTGTCTCATACAAGCACCCATGTCTTGTGATGTTTATGCCTGAATTCTTCATCAAGTTCAAAGCCATGTTAAAATTCTGGACTCTGTTGCCCACATTGCTACCTAAAGCAATCACTACTTCTTCAGAAGAGGAAGAAAATCGTCTGCTTGCAAAATGTGAGGTATCACGCAAAGGGGGAACTGATTTTAACCCTACAACAACAAATTTAAGATAGTTAACATAAAGGCAATTCACTTCAATATGATGTCTATGTGAAATTTTGACAAACTGCATATAAAGATGAAAATCACCTGAACTGCTTATATTCAAATGCACGAATCCTTTAATCCCATGCTTAAGAGTGTGACTAAATTTCTTGAACAACTTCACGCTAGGGAACATTGCAGTTGTTTCTAAAGCCCCGGAGCTATTCATGATTTACCAAAACTTGAAGAGAGGAGCTCATGTCGACTTGACTTGAGGTTTCGTGAATTCTTCAAGGTGATGAAATCATGAAGGAAAAAAAAAGCTCCTGTTACTATATTCAGTCAGCATAGCAATAGAAGAAAATTCCAAGTTTCAACAACATTCTGCTACTTTGTAAAGAAAAAAAGATTTAACTTTTATACCAAAAATAACTCACGGATTCAGAACAGCGAACAGCAAGAAATTGCACTTTCTATCTAGGAGAGAAAGCAAATATTATCTAATTCAATGCCCATCAATTTATTTCAAGGGTAAACAGCGAACAGCGAACAATATTTCACTATTTGATATTTATTCGCCAATTATTCGAAAATCAATACATTTAGAATCTACAACAATATAGCAATTACCAAGTTACCAACTTACCCAGTAGGTCAATATCTCATTACCATTCGAATTCGACTCGAATAGTACATAAATCAACATGCATCATGTTATGAAAAAATCATTTTCAATTGCTTAAAAATCAACACAGAATAAAAATACTAAATTTCACACTGAATCAAGACCCAAATATCTTGATTTACCATCGTAAAATCATAGGTCATGAACGATTTTTAACATTAAACGATGTTGATCAATTTTAACAGAGTGGACTCTAATAATGGATACCTGAACATCAAGTTCCAATGAGAGTTTTTTGCTCCAAATCTTTCCCAAATGACATTGTCTCTGGTTATAAGTTCTTTTTTATCATAGGACATAATTTATGGATTTTAGGTGGAAGCTGATCTTCATTAGTTGAGCTTATTTTTACAGGGTGACATCTTTAGCAAGTAATTCATAAATGTCTCTTCTATTTTCATTCAATCCCATCTGTTTCTTTGTCATTAAGATTTCTTCTTTTCCTTTCAGGTGCTTCTTCTTTGGTGATACATCTTCAAAAAGAGATCCCAATGCTTACTTCGATTGTACCTTCAGCTTATATGATTACTTTCTTAAGGAATACTATCAGTTGAAGCATACCTAACTGCCCAGTCACGAAATCCACATTCATCTATGTGATATTTGTTATCTGAGGACAAAGTTGTAGCTGTATTTATCAAACAAAGCACACAACTTCTCTCAAGTTCTCTTCTAAAGATACTACTAGCACACAATGATTTATGTCGCTTGCCTAACTGCCCAGTCACTTAAGCATGCTAATGACTCCTATTTTTAAGGTCGGGCAAATCAAATGACCATCAGAGCATCATTGATAACTAATGGTATCACTAATGATTTACGTCACTTGCCACAGAGAGAAACATTGAGCCGGATTAGGTAGTAAAGATGAGAGTTCACCTCTGATAATTAAACGAAGCTGATTGAAATTACAGATCCGCAAGGGATGAGATCAGATTTTGTGCAAAATTATCTGTAAAAGGCATAAAGAAGTAATCTTCAGCAATTAATATAAATTAAAAATCAAGAGTAATGGTAACTTTACGCTTCAACTTACATTTTGATGACTCGAGAGGGAAGACCGTCGAGGGAGGAGTAAACGACGATCTTCGAGGGACGACGAGCTTTGAGGGAGGAGTCGACGACGAGCTTCGAGGGAGGAGTCGACGACGAGCTTCGAGGGAGGAGTCGGCCACGAGCTTCGAGGGAGGAGTCGGCGACGAGCTTCGAGGGACGACTTCGAGGGAGGAGTGAACGACCAGCTTCGAGGGAGAACAGTGAAAACCCGAGCCCTAGAATCCGATCTGAAGGAGGAGAGAGAGAGGAGAGAGCAGCCGATCTACTTGATGGAGTCAGATATGGAGGAGGCGGCTGATAGAAACAATAGAATCCACTCTCACCAATTTATATGGGTGACATTTGTAAATAAAAATTTGCATAAGTAAATTTGCAATAAGTTTAATTAATAGGACTAAAATGCAAAAACTAATCAAATAGTTAATGAACTCCCGAATCCAAGATAACTTTCCATAAATCCTATTCATTTATAGGCCGGATACTAAAAATTGTTTGTTTAGTACTAAATGAACTATCGAATCGAATATCTGGACAATTAATAACCGAACTGTTTATTAATTATATTCGGTTCACTTTCACCCCTACTTTTCATATCATTGTCAAATCTATCGTACAATTATTTGAAGGAGACCCTTAAGTTTGTTTTATAAATAAAATACTAGTGTGCATCCGGTACAAAGCATGGCCCCCTATTTTTTTAAACAATATATTTTAAAGTTCTCTCTCTCTAAGTTTTAATACATTTGATTTAATTACTGTATGTTTAAGATTAAAAATCATATCTATTCCTCTGTACTTAAAGAATGATCTAAATTTTAATACATTTGATTTGCTTTATTGTTTATGATACAGTAAATCGATGTTGCATAATTAGAAACTTCAAGCAAGGAGGTGCAGATTTGATTTACTATTACAGCACCTCGAGAGCAGAAGACCGGATTTGATTTACTGTTTATGCTACAGTATTTACTATATCGTTTTACTATACCATGAACGTTTATTCTTTGGATTCACCTTTAATTATAAAGGAGTAGATTTCACTATCCTCATTAAATTTTTTATATGTTAATATAAATAACATCGGTCCATTTAACTTCGTGAGATCTGCACAAGTCTTTCGCATCAACCAATTATGGAGCTGGCTTTTACTAATGTTTACTTATAAGTAATAACGATAGTTTTCAATTGAATGTATGGAGGAAATATGAGAAGACCAGCAATATACGATAGAAAAGCCCCAGAATTACGAGGGGAAAAACAAAAAAGAAAGAAAGAAAGATAGGAAAATCTTATTAATCTTTATGATGATATTTTGAGGCCTGTGTACATCAACTTATAACAACTATATTTCCAGGTTTCTACCAAATAATGAATTAATGATCCACACAAGCTTTTGGGGTGTTATTAGCTTTATAAGTCTTTAATTCAAAGCTTGATAAAGGCATAAATATTCAGGTATATAATTAGATTAGTAATAGCAGAATTGTTCACTGTCATATAACCATACCCCAGTGGGCCTTTTAGGCCCAACAAAATGAATTAGTGAAACAACACTTTTTAACAGTATTGAATAGGGTGAGAAATAAAATAAAATAACAATTATTTCCAAGACATGGTTTTGACTTCAGCACACATATACAAGGTGAAATAAATTCCACATTCTTACTTCAGAATTTGACCCTATATTTCGAATCGCATCCAAAAACTTCCTAGCTGAAAATTAAGGCAATCATTAAACAAGATCATATAAGACAAACGATCACTGAAGTTTTACCTAAAAAGTCATATAGAATATAAAAACCACTTATATAAAAGACGATTTCTAATCAAAACATGAGTTGCCTAGTACAGATCATATGAGGGGTCAGCGCGGTTCGATGAATTAACCGACTGAACTTCTCGAGATTCGGCAGTTCGGTGAGGTATAGATCTAAGCTCGGGTCGGTTCACCCGAACTGACCGGAGTTACGAGTTGGTTGCAGGGTTTTAAATTACAACCTTATTGCCAAATCTAACCCTGATTGACTCCCCCTTCAATCACTAACTAAACCAACGTGTGCTTCCTTT